CCCCGAACATGTGGATGTGAGTTGGAACTTTAAGTGCACAAAAAAAAAAAAAAAAAAAAAAAAGGTGACCCACACACCAACTGACATACCACTACCGTGTTAGCTTAGCTAATAGCAGCGGTACCAATCTACCACAGCAATCACTTAATAATAAAATAAACGTCAGGCCTGAAAACATAAAACTGCAACGGACTGAATGTTCTGGTTCAGTGTGGGAAATATTTCAAGTGTTTTTTGGTGTTGAATTCTGATATTTTAGCGGAGCTGTTGTCAGTCAGTTGCTATGGCAACGGATCTGCGTGTACCATAGCCAGCAATGAGAGCGAGAAAAAAGAAAAGTTTTAAGTTGTTCAATGGTTTTTCTGCCATTTTTCCCTTTGGTGTGGAACACAGCACTAAATTAATTAAGCGTACATCTCCTGGTTTCATTTAGTTTAAGGTTCCACCACGGCAACACTCAGCACGTCTATAGAAGAAGGTGTGTCTCTCTCTCTACCTGCAGGTGGAGGCCCTGGGCGTGCTGTCGGGCGTTCGGGTCAGAGCCAGGTCACACTGGTCTAGCAGCTCCAGCAGCTCCTCCTCCGTCGGCCCGCCCAGCGCTGCCGGAACAAAAACACCTCGTCATCCCCTCTGACCAATCAGAATGCTCACGTGCTCAGGGTGCCGCTGACCTCTGATGTCGACCTTCCCGGCGATCTCCATGGCCGTGGTCAAGTCCCACATCTGGATGCTGCCGTTGCCATGGCCGCTGAACAGGTAGCGGCGCGGGCGCGAGCCGATGCGACTCGAGCCCTCGCACTCGTGGACCATGAAGGCCGTGATGGACGTCCCGTCCACCGACCGCACCTCGCACACCCTGGAGAGACAGCTGCTGTCAACAGACCCAGAGACTGCTCACTCTGAAGGTGGTGGGGAAGTGGGCGGAGCTCATTTACTGAAGCAGGAAAATTGCTTCATCTGATCTTCAAACTTTAAAAAATCTGATTTATCCAAATTAATTTGTATTTTCAGGATATTTTCTTTGAATTGTTCTGAATAATTAATACTCTATATCAGTGGTTCTTAACCTGGGTTCGATCGAACACCAGGGGTTCGGCGGAGCCTCTGCCGCAGAGACGCCCCGCTTTGCCATCACTTGCTGCAGAGGATCACGTTACATTGCTGAGCCAATCAGAGCTGCAGAGGAGCACTAATTGAAGGAGTTCCGCTCTCAGCATGGATCTGAACTTGTGTCTTTAAGTACTTCAGCAAAACTCACCGTTTTTACCAAATTCTCTAGTTTTCGGTGTACTTCTAAATCTGCTCCTTAGTCACATCTTTTCGGGGTTGCTACTGCCTCTAGTGGCGTGGGGGTGGTAACACAACTAATATAATTACATTACTAAATCAGAATACCGCAAAGTCTTTATTATTTATTATACATTTTTCATTCTCTTAAGAATGTAGAGCTAATTAAATGATCTAAACAAGGCATTAAAGTGGTTCCAGTTTCTCTCGATGGCCAACCTGTTGAAACTGTGGCAGATTTTAAATACCTTGGGTTGTTCCTGGACAGTCAGCTCAACTTTGCTGAAAACACTGACTATATTTTGAAGAACTGTTCTCAGAGACTCTACCTTTTAAGAAGACTTGGTGATCATGGGGTGACCCAACTAGACTATAGTTGGGTCACTCCTATGTCTTGAATTTGGGGGGAAAAAAAAATCATATTTTATTTATCACTGCAGAAGGGTTCAGTGAATGCGGATATGAAACTGGTGGGTTCGGTACCTCAAAAAAGGTTAAGAACCACTGATTTATATTTAGCAGCATCTTCACATCTTTTTCTCAGAAGTTTGTGTTTAATAAAAACATGTTTCTTCCACAATCCTTTGACAATACGAACTAAATCGATCAGTGAGACACATCAGCTTCAGTAAGTCTAACCTTTAACATCAGATAAAACATGGAATGTCCTTAACGTTTGATATTTTTGTCTTCATTTATACTCCAATCCGGATCCGATCCGGATCCAACAGCTGATACTAGATGAAAGCGTCGCCATGATTAAACCCCAAACTGCCAGCCGATCGCCACCAGGCCGCCTCTAATTGGGCCATCATCAGGAATCATCCCTCACCTCTTCCCGTTGGACGACAGCCGGACGTAGAGCTTATCCGTGTCCGGAACCACTCTCTGGATGAACACCTGCTGGTCATCCCGCTCCCCGTACGGACCTGGAACCACACAGACCTGGCTGAGGCCAAACAGAACCCAACAGAATCCAACAAAATCAAACAAAACCAGTTAGAACCAAACAGAATCCATTAGAACCTGCTGACCGATCTCGGTTCCGGCGCTGCAGCCTCCGTGACCGTCCACGTCATCCAGACTCAGGATCTTGAAGGAGGTGAGTGGAGTGGACCCGGGCTGGGTGGAGATCATCCCTCGGAACCGGGTCACAGTCCAGGTCCGAACGTGGTTGTTGTCCGCACAGACTGAAAAACACAGGGAGGAACCATCAGAACCTGGTGCCGGAGCCTGGACCCATCAGAACGGGTCTGGTACCTGATATGAGGTGCTTCTCAGACAGCATAATCTTGGTGACGGGACTGCGGTGGACGGAGAAGGTCTGGAAGAGCTGCGGACCGGAGCCGACCGTCTCTGGATGCTGGACGATGACCCGGACCGTTCCAGAACTGGTTCCATAGGCGATCTCGATCCAGTTCCCGCTGTCACCTGAACACATCACGGTTCTGATTCTACTGCAGATTTGTTACAAAACAGTGAAAAGCATTGAATTGATGTGATGCTGACGCTGACCTGCAGGTGGCAGTGTTTCCTCCCCCTGCCCCACTGCTGCCCCCCTGTGGCCACCGATAAAACTGGAGCCATTTCAAATCTTTAAAGATTAAAATTTTGTGTTTAATCTGTCTGCTTATTTTATTTTATTTTGGTTTTTTTGGATAAAATTTAATATTTAAAAAAAATTTATACAATTAATTACAAATATTTAAATGTTTTAAATTAAACTTTTTCTTTTATAAGTGATTCTAGTTTTTAATGCCGTCTGTTGAATTCTGGCTTTTATCAGATGGATAAATAAATTGTTACCTTATTTGTTTTTTGTTTATTTAAAAAATATTTTGATTCATATTAGAGTTTTAAGAATTTTTTTTAGATATATTTTCAATTGATCCTTTTATCCATTTATAACAGGTTTGTTTTATATTTCATTACCTTTTTTCTTTGCAGGTTCTTATTTTGGTTATAATTTTAAAAATTAATTATTTTTGTTTTATCAGTTTTAAATGTTTTCCTTCTTATTTAATTCATTAAATCATTCACACTTTTACATCACAAACCTTTAATTTTAACTCAGAGAGAAACTCTGATTCCACCTAACTGTATATTTTTAATGTTATTGTTATGAGTTTATTTGATGGTTAACAGCTCAAAGGTTCACATATATTAACATTTGCTTTAAATTAGATTTTTTTTTAAAATCCATAGTCCTAATTTGATGCTTTTATTCTTTATTTAGCTGTGGATGTTGTAATGTTCAGTTTGGGGGCTGTGTGTCCTGCCCAGTCCTCCCAGTATGAGTGGTTTGGTCCTTACTGGTTTTGGGGGTCAGGTAGACGCTGAGGGCGGTGATGGCGTCCTCGGTCGGGTCCCTGTAGAGCTCCGTCACCAGCAGGTCGTTGTCCTTCATCCTCAGAGGGAACTTCTGGACGTCTGACGGAGACAAAAACATCAGCTACTTGGACCATGTTGCCATGGCGATGGACTTGGACCCGCCAGTCTTACCAATGTAGTAGATGGATCCGTTGTTGCAGCCGAGGATGAGGAAGGATCCGGCAGTGTCGTAGCTGCTGATGGGAACAACATCCTGGTTCTGCAGGGAGAGGGGAGAGGGTGGGGCTTATCACCTAGCAACCCACATTGGACCTGAAACCGTCCAGATCCTGACTCCACCCACCTGCCAGTGCTTGGTGACGGCGTTCCAGACGCCGACCTTCCCGGTGTGGCTGGTGGCGATCAGCTGGTTACCAACAAAGAAGAGCGCCTCGGCCGGAACGTTGAGGCTGAAGACGCCTGCAGGGGGCAGCGCACGCATTTACATTCCGGTTCTGAGGTTCTGTCCAGACCCAGACTCGGTTCTGCTCAGGTCTGATTATCATAAACAAGCCTGATCCCAGTTAGACAGCATGAAAGAAGACATTTAAATGATTCTCATCGTCCAATCAGAACAGACTTCCTCTAAGTTGAAAGTGAGGCAGGAACAAGAAAAAAACATGGAGACTCTGAAACCAGGAAGAACCTCAAAACGTCTCGCATAAAAGAAAACAAATCGATAATAAAAACTACAAGAAGGTTTTTGTTTGCTTGATTCTGATCAAATTAAACTTTAAAGTCAATATTTTAAGAAATAATGTTGAGGTAATATAGAAATGCTGAAAAATAATTTCTAAAAATATCTTGATAAAAGGAGAAAAACATGCAATCTACAAAATAAGACCAAAGAATGAAAACTGAAAAAAGCACAAAAAACTGAAAAAATAAGAAATGAAAAAATAACTTCAGATAAAAATTTATATTTTATAAAGGAAACACACTGAAAACTAATTTTTTTAAAACAGTTAAACAAAAGTAGAGCTGAAATACAATACAGAATTACAAAAATAAAAATTGAGAAAATTTTCAAAGAAAAAATAAAACTGAAGAAACAAAATAAAAATAAAATTTTAAAGAACTATGAAAACAATAGCAAAAATAAAAAATCTAAAGAAAACAAAAATTAGAATTAATTTTATTAGAAATAAATTAGAACATTTATAAAACACGTTAGAACATAATTTTTTATTCTAAGCATTCATAGAAATGTAAACTGATAACTTTGATTTGCATCAGGAAACAAAAAATAAAAATAAATGTTTTTTTACTTCCATGCAGGTTGAAGCAGCAAATCTGAAAAATCGTACCGATTTCGTTCCCGTTTCCGTCGGGACAGATGGACCAGAGGATGATCTCCGTCACCGAGGCGACGGCAACCATCTTGTCGTTGTCTCCCAGCGACCCGCCCATCACCTTGGCGTTGAGGGCGACTCTGTCGATGACGCAGTCGAGGCGCGGCGAGGTGAAGACCTGCTGCCAGCCGGTGGATTCCTTCATCCTGACGGCAGGAAGGACAACCTTCACTTCCTGGTTCCGCCGCCAACCAGCCAATCAGAGCGCCGCAGGAGTCGCTTACCTATAGCAGACGACAAACTGAGCGTACGCCACGGCGATCCAGTTGTGATGGCCGCAGATGATCCGGACCATGCCGGGATCCGACGATCCTCCTGCAGAACCGCAGAGTTAGTGACATCACTTCCTGTAGAGCCGTGGCGGCGGCCCGACCCGTTACCTGCAGACGTCCTGTCCTCGGCGCCGGACCGGCCCAGAAGCCCGGCGTTCCCCAGGTTGGGAGGCATCGTGTTGCTGCGCCGGACCGGCGCTCGCTCCGCTGGCCCGGCCCGGCCCACCATGAACTGAGACCCGGCCACGCTGTGGCGGTTCCGACGCTTCGCCGGGTACACTGGGGAGACACGGACATGGATCAGAACCTGGTCGGGTCCAGATCCGGGCCCAGAACTGGGTAGGGACCAGAACTGGGCCTGCTGCTGGTCCAGCTGTACCTGGGGGAGGCAGGTATCCATTGAACAGAACGTTTCCACAGGAGGACCGGTCCAACTCGTCACACAGCTGCAGCTTTCGCACTGAAACAAAATTAAAAATGATTTTAAAGAATCCAGAACAGCGCCTCCTGCTGGCAGCGGACCAGTTTGTTCAGACAGTTATTCCCTCTGGTTCTGGATGCATCTGGAAGGATTTTTGCTGTTTTTTTAGCTATGATCTGTCACCATGGCAACAAGGTTTACAACTGATTAGCAGCTCAAATATATCCTGAACTTTGACCCCAGATCAGCTGGAAGGCAAACTGGATGAACTTCAACCAGTTTTATATTTATTACGACGTTCAGTGGATCATGGCTGCAGCATCTGATCCCAGACTCTCTGCTCATCCTTCCAACCAGACGAAAAGACAGATTTAAGAGGAGCAGCAAAAGCAAAGGAGGTGGATTAGCAGCGTTAGCTAACAAGTAATGGTGTCATTTAACTTCCCTTTAGGACAAATGAAGTAAGTTTGGATTGAACTGAACTGTTCTCCAGGTTTTCTCGTTTCCAAGCAGAACCAGAACAGAAATCTAAGACATAAGATCTGTGTTCACCTGGAGAACACTGCAAAGAACCAGAAGCCTCAGGACGAAACGTGACGCCCGAACGTAACGTTTCCTCATCCTGACCTGAGCACGGTGGAGGCAGCATAATGCTGTGGGGCCGTTTTTAGACATCGATCTGATCTGAGTATCTGATGGTTCCTGTCAGCAGAACATCCCTGTACCTGCTGCTGAGGCGCCGAGCAACCAGCGAAGGGTGTGAATACTTTAGCAGAATGTCGGAGCTGCTCTCACCCAGCGGCGTGATCCCGTAGAACTCCGCCTCGTGCATGAGCATGTGCACGTTGATGGAGCGTGGGTACAGCTCTTTGCTGCGCAGGAAGTTGAGGATGGGAGCAAAGAGCGACGGGTCGCGATCGATGAAGATCTGAAGAGAGAAACGGCAGCGTGACGAAGAGGAAGACGGCTCAACCAGAAAACGAGTCCAGGAACACTCACGGCTCCTTCGTCATCTTTCAGGGTGGAGATGCGGCCGCTCAGCAGGCTGAAGAACAGGAAGAGAAAGAAGAAGAGTTCAGGAAGCTGGTCCTAGGCTGAACGGAGCTAAATAAAGTCAGGCTGACTCACCTGGAGAAGAAGGAGTCAGGAACCCAGGTGAGCGTCTGTCTGGAGGTACTGAACCTGTAAAATGTTAGAGAGCCCGTCGCTTTATTCTTCATGGATTTAATCCAACTAGTAAATTCATTTAATTATATTTAAATCAACAAAACCAGCTGAAACATCAGGTTCTGAATAGGGCTGGGCACCGCTAGCTATGCTAACCCTAATCACTAAGCATAAAGAGTAGCTCCACTATTGCTAAAACACTACCCCAACTTAGCATAAGCAAGCGCTAAAGCACTATACCAGTGTTTAGCATAAGCTAATGCTAAATGCTATATTAAAATGGTTTTGAGTGGACGCTATGCTAAAACAATATACCATATGGTATTAAAATGAAAGAATTAGCTCCTCTGTTAGCGCATTAGCGGAAGTTTTCCCACCAGGGGTTTAACTTTCAGCTCAGCTCCAACAGCACTGAGTTGAACTAACCGTATTTTCCTCACTCTCCTCCTTTACCTCCATACTCATTAAGGTTCTACTACTCAAAGTAAAATCCATTTCTTCTCAAGGCAAGGACGCTGACGTCCTGCAGCCAACCAAATATTACAATACTTAACAAGTCTTCATTTTCCCACCAACTTTGGGAAGTTTTCATGCAACAGGAAGACGGAACTGTTTTATGTTGTCAAGATGTTTGTTGTCAACATGAATTAAACCTTCCAGTCAGAGTTCCAGTTTAGTGATTCTGATGTCAACACCAGATCTGACGGGAAAAAGCTCATTCCTGCAGCTGGTTTGTTAAGGTTCCATTATCGGACAAGAAGATATTTGGATAATTTTCATCTCTAAAGTTCATCTAGTAAATCCAGACAATCAGAAATGAGACTCCTCTTTGTGCAGACCTACTGTATTTGTAGTTTTTTTTTTTTTTGGCATAAAGTGACAGCTAAGCTTTATGTTCCACCTGCATGCATCCATTGTCGGGCACAAAGTAAAATCCAACCAATAACTTAATTTGTTTTTATTCAACCTCAGAAGGGACACTTGGGGTAATAATAACGATATGAACCAAACAATCCTTTATATAAAACCCTGACTATTTCCTTTTAAGTCGTGTAAAACAGGTTATTTTAAATAAAGAGAGAATTAATCATGAAAGAATGGCAATCTATCCGACAATGGAAGCCGCTACATTAGTTTAGTCCCATCTCTCCAGCTAGCCGGGTTAGCCCAGAACTTCCGGTGCTCCTCACCTCTTCCCACCGACATTCAGGTGGATGATATCCCCACTCTTCACCGGGGAAGACATCCTCCAGAGACCGAGTGACTCGGATAAATCCAGAAAAATACGAATTTAATCCATGTTTTGAGCAGAAAGTAGCTCAACAAAGCACTTCCTGCTACACAATGAAGGTGGGAGCTAAAAGCCGGAAATGAGCTGCGGACAAGTGGAACGGGGTAAACTCCGGACCGGATTATTACATGGTTCCGGACTCCAACGGAAGGACATTAATATATATTTCTTTTATGACAACAAAAAACATGTAGAAATACTTTCTTTATTTCAATAATGATTTTTTTAAATATTACTCAGCTTTTTTATTTAAAAATATAGTTTAGGCTGCTAATCAGATTGATCAGAAGTCTGAATTCTCTAATTATATTATCTGTCACTTGTTTCAGATCCCATTAGTGATAAGAAACAAGTTTTTAACCAAAACAGGGAGCAAAAGTCCTGCTAACTCCTTTGGGATGATGACATTTTATGATGAATAAGGAAAAAGGCAAATTTCTGGGTCACTGTAATGAATAAAACATCATGAACTAGATGAAGTCACAGCCATGTGTTACATGCTGAGCTGCATTCACTGAGCAGGTGTCGGTTTCAGATCTGTTGTTTCAGAAGAGATGAGCGGAGATGCTCCACTTCCTTCTGGTGAGTCGGACATCTTCCTCCTCCCTGCTGGGTTCCTCTTCCTCCCATTATCCGGCTGCAGTGTCCACAAACACCCAGCGTGGAAAACACCTCCAGGTTAAACATAGAACAAAACCAACGTAAAAATACCTCATCATCAGAATGACCTTGCTTTACGCAATCAAAATAAAAAAAAACCTGAATTACTTTCAAACATCCACAATAAAGTCTAATCTGACAGCCTGGTGGAAAGTTACAAAAATCACTAAAGTATCATCAAGTCCTTGCACATATACTCCAATCTGACACAGTCCAGACTTTCAAGCCTTAAATAAACCGATCTACTATTCATCATGGGCAGAAAAGGGAATCACTCAAATCCAACATATATTTCACAGTAATCAGTTTATATCTTTTGGTGATTTGGTCCAGAAGTCTGGAAGAAGTTTCTCCACTACCATCGACGTAAACGCATCATTAAATCCTAAACATCCTTAGATGGATGTTAGTTTGTTGGATGGATGGATGGATGGATGGATGGATGGATGGATGGATGGATGGATGGATGGATGGATGGATGGATGGATGGATGGATGGATGTTTGTTTCCATTAAATTGCTTCCAATTTAATGGAAACATCAACATTATTAGCTGAAAATTGCAGATCAAGGGGTAAACTTTATCCAGATTGTATAAATTCATTTCCTCGACAGACATAACAGCAGCAATCGCAGATCACAGCTGATCTGATGCCACCAGTAACACAAACTTACAGCTTATATGGTATAAAACAATTCACAGATCCCACGTTACTCAGAGAAAATGTTTAAAATGGGTTTTACCATTTCCAACACTATAACCGTACTATTTCCATGCCATTTGAACCTGCACAGCTGTTCAACTCTTCTGCATATCAGCAACCAAAAACTCTCCACCGCTTTGGGTTGCAGAGCCCCGTTCCTCCAGCTCTCTGTCTACTTGGTAACTACAATGGAATGGATAATTTTCCAGATAAATGCAAAGATCCATTTCTAGTTTCTCTATATCGCCAAGAAAATAAAACTTCTCACCTGGAAATGAAAAAACTCTCTACATATTAACACCTGGACAAACCTTCTTACTGAAATACACCTGGAAAGCATTACAATTACGCAAAAAGATCATCTAACTGTGTTCATCAATATCTGGAACTCAAACTAGATTTAACACCTGGGGGCGATGGTCCAAAAACTAAAACTACAATACTGACTAAATAAAGTCACTTTCACTCACATATCTTCTAATGAAGTTTTGTTAACCGGTTAGTTAAATCAATGTTTTTTTCAGAGTCACAGACATAACAGATTATTAACCTCACACACATAAACACACATTCACAGGATTTCCTTGGCCTGAATTAATACAACTCATTATGTTTTGTGTTTGTTCTTTGATTATTGTTGAATATTGCTATAATTATTATGGTTGTTACTGTTTTGTGCTGTCATTATTATGACATCTTGAGTATTCCCCGGTCGGTGCTGTCTGCTCCGGGTCGGCGCTGCAGACGGGAACATGGGGAACAATCGGGGTGGCGTCTCTCCACCGGCTCCATCAGGATTACTGTTAGCCAACTAATGATAGTTTAAGTTTCTTTTTCCTTGTTTTATTTTATTTCATTTTTTTCCAACAACATCATGAAAGAAAACTTGAAACAAACACAAAAATAAATGAAATAGAGGCAGAATACACAACAATCGGGGTGAACGTGGTCCAATCATCTTTTAACTGCATCACATCAGACTGGATATGCAGAATATGAACAGGTTTAAAACATCCATCAGCCGATCAGGGCTGACTGGACTGATGGTTCGGTTCTGGTCTGGGTTCACTGTGATGCGCCCTTTGACCTTTGGTGGTCTGCTCAGGGGCAGACAGCCTCTATTATAGCTAACATTGTTATTACTTGGTGCTGTGGTGGTGCAGGGGTTCAGCACAGCCCACATAAGGAGGCCTTAGTCCTCGACTCGGCCGCCGCAGGTTCGATTCCCGGCCTGGTGACCTTTGCCGCATGTCTTCTCTCATTACCTGCTTTCCTGTCAATTAACTATCAAATACAGGTCACTAGAGCCAATAAAACCTTTTAAAAAAAACATTGTTATTACTTTATTAGTTGTTTTTCCTCTAGTAGGAGTAATGCTAAATGATTTGATCAGTAATTTTACCATTATCTTCCTTTTTCCTTTATCATATCAACAGTTCCTACACACTGGACTCTCCTGTCTCTTTTTCTTTGTTTTTCTATTATTGTCTTTTTTGCACACCCATTTCTAACACTTGTATTTGTTATATATAATCATAAAAAAGAAAAAAAACACCTCAGGGATTTTCCGCTGTGGTCAAACCAAACCACCAAACACCCACATGTCAGCCGGTGCCAGGAGACGCTTCCAGTCACACGCCAACAAAACGGAAATGAGGCAAGAAAACTCAGCATCTGGAAAATACATATTTAAAAACAATAGAATAAAATATATCATTTAGTAAATAAACAAATTAAAATGTAATTAAGCTGAAAATACACCAAATTAATAAAGAAATTATCTTGACAACAAAATGAAACAAACAGTAATGTCCTTTGCTTTAAAGTATTTAATAGGCCGCATTTCTATAAACTCAATCAGGAGTTGATAATGATTGTTTTTGATCAAGTTCTTATTTTAGATTAAGGGTTATTCTTTATACATGATTTATTATTATAAATGTGATCACATATTTATGCCAGCTGATCCTAATGTGGTCAAAGTGAAATATTTACAATGTTTTCTGTGGTGAACATTTATGTATTGAGGCACTGTAAAAAACTAATTTAGTCTGAGTTTATTGAAACAGGACAGTGCATGTTTGTACTCTCGGTGGTTAAAGTGTGAGAGAGGAAACGAAGGGAGGGGAAGGCAGAGAACAGAATCAGTCTGAATCCTTTCCTGTTATCTGCTTACAGACGGGCAAAAAATACTTCCTTCTGACTTTAGGACAGCATTCACAGTCTTCACAGCCTTCACATCATTCACAGCCTTCACAGCCTTCACAGCCTTCACATCATTCACAGCCTTCACAGCCTTCACAGCCTTCACCGCCTTCACAGCCTTCACAACATTCACAACATTCACATCATTCACATCCTTCACAGCCTTCACAGCCTTCACCGCCTTCACATCATTCACATCATTCACATCCTTCACAGCCTTCAGAGCCTTCACAGCATTCAGAGCATTTACAGCCTTCACAGCACAGAAGAAGCCTGTGGCAGCTGCAGCCGCTCCTCCAGCAGACCCACCAGAACCAGCAGAACCAGCAGAACCAGCAGAACCAGCAGAGCACCCCGTCGCCCTCCAGCTCCCCCAGTTCTCTCCGTCGCTCCTCCTGCAGGCTGAAGGCCAGCAAACTGGTGAAGCTGCAGTTTCCTCCTTGTGTCCTAAACATAATTTTCTTTGAAATGTTTGCATAAATTCAGTGACTTCCTCAACGCTGCATGTTGCACAACAGCCTGGTGTTTAAAGGATCCGCTCACTGCAGCATCGTCTTACTTGCTTTTCTATTTTCATATTTGAGTTATAGTTGGATTTAAACCGAACCCAGTGTGACACGTTTTGTTCCACCTCATGTTTTAAACATGAATTCAACTGAAAAACTTCTGATCTCCTCGTTCACTTTTCCTCCCAAATCCTGTTTGGTGAACTGGTTTCTGTCTAAGCTGCCCTTTGGCTGTGAGCGTGTGTGCACACGTTTGCATGAATTCATCGCTATAGCAGTAAGGTGGGCATGCAGTGTTTGCCACAGTGATGTGGCTTGTAGAGTCATCAGTGGAGCGAAGGCGTGAGGATGACCAGAGGATGCAACGTCACACAGGAACAGAGGAAGTTTATGTCCAGCGCAGCTCATCTTCCCTCATATGACTCGGTTCACAAGGAGGAGCTCAGACTGCAGGATCGAGCAACATCTGCACGGACGGCTGCCGCACAGCTGGCTCTGCTGGAGGTGAGCGCACACACCATGCAGGACGACTCACACCACAGATCTGACACTTTAACACCTCGCTGCGTTTCCACTGGTGATTACAACCCAGATGGATGAAAACCTGATCCAGCAGAGGTCAGATCAAATCTGCTCTAAAAGCTGAATTAATGAGGATTCAGTCAGATCAGGTTGGAATATTTCATCAGACTGAATGTGATCTGCTAGAAAGGTCCAGGACTTTCCGTGTTTCTCTGATTCATCTGCTTCTGAAAAATGATAACGCTTCTTATCGCATTTCATAACTTCATGCTTGGTCATGTCGTCAGGCTGATTCTAGAGATGGTTCCGGTTTTTATTTTTCTCTTAAATGTCATCAGATTAATAAATGAAGTAAAACTAAAAAAAGAGACAAATTATGAATCAAATCAGGAGCCAAAAGTTGAAAAAATCTAAATGATTGGATCAAAGTTTAATGTGGAGTTATTAATAACATGCATGATTTATTTAAACTCTGTTGGGTCTAACAAGTTTAATGAATAATCAAAACAAAGGCAATAAAAGCCTCCTTTGCATCCTGATGTGAATCTTGTTGTATTCCTGGTCGGTTTGTTTTTCTCACCATGAGAACATTGAGCTGCTTTATGATCACAATGCAAAGCTGTGGTTTGAGTCAGAGCTATAATTACACGGCTCTAGTTTTCCAGGAAACCTGATCACAGCTTCGACAGGCCAACCGCTGATCACTTCTCCTTTTCTGGACTTTTAAGCTCAGCGACGCTTTTTGAGTCGCCGCTTTCCACAGCCAGAGCTGGGCGTTATTCAGTTAGCCCCACACGTCCACCAGGGGGCAGCAGAGAAGGGGGCAGGAGCTGCCTGGCAGTTACCTGAGCGCCTGACAGCAGGCAGGGTCAGCCGGATAAAGAGCATCTGATGAAGGCTGCTGAGGATGACTCTGGTTTGCATGAAGCTCATGAGGGCAGATGAACCAGAGGTCTGATGACCAAACCACAGGAAATCACACATGCTGCCTTCCCACAATGCACTGGAAACAGGAAACTCCAGAAAGGATGACCTGGCCACACTTTTCAGAAACACAAACACAGTACAGCACTTTGAAAAAGCAGCACAGCTGGAAGACAGGAAGAATTAAATATAGTAACACCTTTAAGACTTTACACTGCAGAGTGTTTTACTATTTTCCTGAGAAAGATCTGAAAGTTTTCTGTCCTTTTCCGTTCAGGCTGGAGAATTTTCCAGCCAGAAGCAGCAAAGTAACTGGGAATGTTTTTCCAACGCTGGAGAATCAACCGGTGGAGGGAACGACTAGCGCGCTAACAGCAGAGCTAACGGTTAGCTGAAGGTTTAAACGTCTTTGCTAACACGTCTTCACCTACACGCTAAAGGTTAAAGTTCATGACAGCATGGCAAGAAAAAAAAATATATATATATATATATATATATATATGAATAAGAAAAAGCTAGAATACAATGATATAAAAGAAGTAAATAATAACAATAAGTCAATTAATTAATTAAAAACCTGAAATATAAAATAATTAAAAGATTATTTAAATAAATAAAATAGATGAATAAAAAATAAATGAATAAAACCAACAATAGAAATTTGATTTACAATAAAATAATAATTCAAAATGATTGCAGCAGGACTTGTTTGATCTGCATTTGATCTGCAGGTCAGATCAGCACTTCCTGCCTGACATCAGGCTCGGTGGTGGAGGGATTATGCTCTGGGCAGCAGTGGAGGAGGCTTTGGACCTGAACTCCACAATCTGAGTTCAGAATTTGGTCTTGACGTTCTTCCATGGGCCGTTATCTCCACCTCGCTCTCAGGAAGCGGCTGGCAGAGGAATCATGCAAATATTCAGGCGGCGCTCCAGTTGCAGCTCTTCTCTCCGCTTCACTGGAACTGCACTCATTTTGCTTTCTGAGTAAATGTATAATAAAACTTTGAGTTGTTGATGGAACCAGTGTTTCTGTGCAGAGATGAATCAGAGCCACAGGAACCACAGAGATAGAAAAAGTTTCACTTCAGGTTATTTATGTGGCTTCGTTTCACAGTGAAGCTCATCGCTGAGTGAAGGTCAGAAGGAAAAACAAACTTTAGATCAGACCAGGTTCCACTTTCAGCTTTAGGTTGATTCATTTCAAAATGTTGGTTCTGGTTCTGGTTCTGCTGTAAATCTGTCCATCATCACATGACATCATCATCAGACATTCAGGTTGCTGCACATCAAAGTTCATCTGATGTTCAAATATGACTCATAAACTCAGAGTCTGACCAGGAAACAAACAGACGACTCATTTTTAAAAGGTTAGTTTTATTATTAGTTTTCTTTTTTATGTTTGTTATTTTTCATTAGTTACATCTAATTTTTTATGTTTAAGTATTTAAAAAACCTGAAATGGATTTAAAAACCTTTCGTCTTATATTTATTTAAAACAAGAATCTGAAGCTAAGTGAGCTTCAGCTTAGCGTCACCAACCGGTTCACCAGAAACAGCCCAGATCATCACTCTGCCACCACCGTGCCTGACTCTTCATTCACAAACCGATTCGTTGCTTTTAGCCTTCTTCAGCTGACAAATGGTGCCGTTTACAGGTCTGACTGCAGCTGGTGAGATTTAACCAGAAATGTTTTACTCTCAGTTAATTCATGACATAGAAAAGGGTTGAATTACTTTTTCATCTAAATAATGAAATCCTGGTTAAAAATCTGCGTTTTGCATTAATTCGGCTGATGTTTGTAAATCTGGTCGGCAGGATTCTTCTGAACGTCTCAGAGTCTAAAAATGTGAACGTTGCATCAGGTAACGACTGTGAAGCCCTGAGGAGGTTTGCATGAACTCACTCGACCGAGTTCCAGGGAAATGGCATTAAAATGATTCAGCCTGGGAGCTGTCGCACCAATGCCTGTCAGATTTCAGCTGTATTTGTGTTTGTGGTGATGAAGCTGCAGTAAAACATCCACAATCCGTCTAAGGAATTCGGTTTCTGACCTCATTTTTAGTCTCAGCTTTGTTTACAGAAGAAACTCTGAGAAATTGTAAACAAAGACATTAATCATAACTTTAGTCCTGCTGCAATGCTTTTATTTTCATTGAAAGGAGCGACTTGGATCTTCAAGTGGCATTTATAGAGACCAAATACATGAGCATGATGCATGCATAACATTTATATTTATGCTTCTTATCTTTGTCCTCGCTCGGTTTCTGCTAATCTGGTCGATTGTTCAGTGACTGTGAAACTCTGAACTGCAGGAAGGAGAAGAGGCGTTTGCTCTGAGAGGCAATTATCTTATTCTAAAGAAAAATACTGAGAAACGTTGCTGCATGTTTTAGTGTTATTATTGATGTGAAGCAGTTTTTGCTGTCATGTTGTTTTTTCAAAAGGCAGAAAAATAATCTTTAGACAAACAGAAGTCAGGATTTACCCTAAAATAACGGAGCGAGGACAGGAAGGGTGTCGTCCTCCGTCCTGTTTTCACAGGAGTGGATGAAGGAGCGCCGTTGGATCGGGATCAATCGCAGCAGGAAGCAGCAACCAGGAGCCAAAGATGCTCGTTATTTTCACACGTGGTGTAGAGCTGAAGGCCACTGGACTTAAAAGGAGATCAGGAGGAAGCCGCTGCACAGATTTAGTTGTTTACATGCGCAGAACATCTGGAGGCTGATCTGCAAACCGTGTCACGGTGCGACTGATTTAACCTGCCGATGGGAGGCTTTTAAGGCTGGATTCTGATACCGGCCCAGACGGAGATCCACACCAGGATCCAGAACCACTGAGATGATTTAACCGGCCACTTCTCCTGTTGGAGCTGACAGCCTGCAGGGGGCGACAGTCATTTCTTCAAACTCAGTCAGTCAGCCAAACGTCTGTCTGGCTTTAGGAAAACAAAACTAGGAAAATGCATTTTCTGCAAAAATGCTGTAAGTTGAGTCTGTTTGCTGAAAACTGATGAAATATTTGAAGTCAACTGCTGATAACTTTCTGAAATGTAATTAAAAAAGCATTTCAGCAAACAAATGCTGAAATGCTTTTGCTATGCAAATTTCCTACATAGCAAAACTTTCAGTAAAAACTTTTGAAAAGTTTAAGTCGGTGTCAACTCAAGTTCAAAAACATAAAATGTTGTGCAGAACAGTGATTACAACACTGAACTAACTGATCTTACCAGTATGGAGTCTTACTGTTGAGTGCAGCAAGACTCAACCAGCTGTTGATCTGTACAACAGATTAATGTTAATGCTGAAATAAACTGGTGAAGATTTTTGCCTAATGAAGTGATGAATGTAATGAAGTGGCAGAAACACTAGAATAGCAAGACTTTAAGCTGATGTGCATAAACAGTAAGACTACCAACTGAAAAAAGAGGAACAAGACCAGATGTAACTAAAGATCCCGTTGCTCCAAACAGTTGAAGCAAGAGTTCAAACAGCTGTTCAAATGTGAAAATTGGAAGAAACCTTCCTGCATTGAGGATGGAAAACACAGAAGATTAAACTTAGACGTGCATCACAAGCTGAGGGCAGGGCTAAAACACTTGGTAAAATGTAAAATCTGTTGATTTAAAGACCAGCTGAGGTTGGACTGGATGAAAACTATGGAAATGTCTTAACTTGGTGTCCAACTTAGTGACATGCAACACTAGTTGAAGTTTGAAGCACTTTGGGGTCCTCTGGACTTGATAAAACTCTATACAAGTATAAGCCATTAACCAGTTACTATGTATTAAAACCATCTTGTCTGTTTTGTTGCCAGGAATGGAGAAACTCAATTCGTCTAACAACACCAACCAGTCTGATTTTCACAGCATCTTCACCAAGCAGGTCCTTCCCCCTTTCTACATCGCCATCTTCGTTCTGGGCCTGTGTCTAAATGTCGTGGCCGCCTGGATCTTCTTCAGAGTCCCAGCAGACTCTGGTCTGGTGGTTTACCTGAAGAACATGGTGGTGGCTGACCTGCTCATGCTGCTGTCCTTCCCCTTCAGGGTGGCTGATTACTTGGGTTATGAGAGTTTGGACCTCGATGTAATCAAGTGTCGCTACACAGCCGTACTCTTCTACTTCTCCATGTATGTTGGAATCCTCTTCATCGGCTTCATCAGCCTTGAGCGCTACGTTAAGGTTGTTTGCCTCTCCCCTTCCTCCTCCACCATCCCTTCCTCCAGGTCTAGATTCAGTGTCGTGCCTGTGCTACAGCATATACAGAGGGCCACCTCTGCCCGGGTTCTGGCGGTCCTCACATGGAGCTTCCTCTTCCTGTGCTGTGCCCCCAATGTCATACTGACAAGCAATCTTGAAGAAAAACAGTCTATGAAATGTATGAAATGGAAGACACCGCTGGGCAAGGAGTGGCACAAAGTCTCAAGCCATATCAGCGTGTCCTTGTTCTGGGTGACACTCGTTATCGTGACTTTCTGCTACACATCAATCGCTCGCCAGGTGTGCAAGACGTACCGCCGCATGCGCCGTGACACCACCGACATCTGCCGCAAGTCCAACCGCAGCATCTTCAGCATCCTGGTGGTGTTCTTCATCTGCTTTGTGCCTTACCATGTCTGCCGCGTGCCTTTCACTCTGAGTCAGTTCAGCCAATCAGGCTTCAGCCCAGATGTCAGTTTTTGGCTTTTCCAGATTAAGGAGGGAACGCTCTTCTTGTCGGCGATGAATGTCTGTCTCGACCCTGTGATCTACTTCCTGATGTGTGGGACTTTCAGAAAGTCCCTGCTGAGGAAACTGTCAGTGAGAGCGAGGAGGAAGTCGCTTTCCACCGCTCAGAGTCTTAGCAACATCTAGGAGAAGAGGACAAGGAGTCAGAGGACAAAGAAATGTGTAGCAAAGAGAGAAAAGGTGGGAGCAAAAGAAAGAAGGTGCTGAGCAGTGAGGAGATCCTTGGTGACTACCCAAACTGGACTACATGGAGAAAACAAACAGTCCTTATGGGCTGGTATCTTTTACATCTTTCACACCTGAATCAACTGTTTATTACCAGAGTCCCACAGCATTGAAGGACATGTTGAGAAGTCAGCTGTCTTGCAACAGGGACACATCTGAAACATGTAGGACACCAGTCCTTGAGGACCGCAGTTGGACATCCCTGATAGAAAGGAAGCAATGTGATGTTTTTGTATTTATAGGCAAGAGAAACAGAATATATCCTGATGATCACTCACTGACCACATCATTAGAAACATCTTGCTGTTTCTGCATTGGAAATCCTTGTGCCTTCAGAACTGCCTTGAATTTTCATATCAATGTTTCAACAAGTTGTCAGAACCATTCCTCAGAGGCTCTGGTCCATATTGATGAGAGATAATCAAACAGTTGCTGCACATGTTGAGATCAATGATGAGGATCTCTGTTTCACCACAAGCCAAAATGTCCTGCTGGACTGAGTTCTGACGATCTTGCAGATATTAGGGCCCATTAAATGTGGTTTATGCTTGATGAATGTACTTAAATAGACATGCAGACTGTGGCCGACACACTTTTTCCAGCATTTATGGCCTGTGCAGCTCGTCCCAACCAACCTTGGGACCTTGCAAACATGCCCAGTGTTAACCAGGCTTTAGGGTACACTAAGCTCATTGTCATGTCCCAGAAAGCCTGAGATGATCTGAGCTTTGAAACAGGGTCCATTATGCTGCTGGAAAATCAGAAGATGGGTCCATTGTGGCCATTAAGTACTGATTATGATCAACGGTGATACTCAGCTGGGCCTTGAGGTTTCAGTGATGCTCAGCTGGTTCCAAGAAAATATTCCTCCTTACTGCACCAGCAGCCTGAACCATTGATCCAAAGCAGAACGGATCCACGTGTTCATGTTTATGCCAAATACTGACCCAACCAGCCTGAGACTTGCTGGACCAGGAAGCTCATCTGACATCAATGACTACTCTTCCTCTGATAACCTGCTGCTCACTAGATATTTTCTCACTTTCAGAACATTCTTTCTTAATCTGAGAGATGGTTGTGGGTTGAAATCCTCGTAGATCAGCAGGTTCTGAAATACTCAGACCAACCGTCTGGTACCAACAACCATACTGCATTCAGTTACCAAAATCCCCTTTCTTCCTCATTCTGATCCTCAGCTGAACTTCAGCAGGCTGTATTCAACAGGTCTAGATGCCGCAATCCATTCAGCTGCTCTCATGTATTTGGCTAATATGCAAGGACTGAACAGGTGTACCTTATAAAGTGGCCAGTGAGTGCAAGTGTTCTGTATATAAGAGTAGCACATATTTAGCTCTAGCTTTGTGTTTATTATTCAAGGAAAAAGGAAGAGTGGAGGGTGTAGAGTGTGATGGCAGGCATCGAACCTGTGGCGGCTGCAGCCTCAGCATGTTGCTGTGAATTCCTCTTCACCTTCAGCCGATTGGTTCGAAGCAGAAAGAGTCAGAAACTGGAGCTTAGCCGCAAGAAGAACAGCAAACATGCCTTTTATTTATCTGTGTCACTTTTATATTCAATAAAGCATTAAGTTGTGTTGAACTGTTATGATGTGGCTCATTTCATGGAGGAACGGCGACGTTTGCTTTTAATTTCACTTTTTCTCTGCTGCCATCTGGTGGCCAAACTGTATAATAGCAGGATTTCTGCACAGGCGGCGGAGTGGAGGAGCGTTTTGCTCTTATCCAGTTAGAGATGCTGATTAGCGGTTAGTTAGCACATGCCTTGCATCAAGAAGGTTCCCGGGTTCAAATCCCTGATATTTCTTCACACAAACCTGTATGTAAGCAAAACAATCATTTTATAAAACCAAAATAGAGTTAAAAATCTGATTACTGGCAACAAAACGTTTAGGACTTACTTTGGGAACTAACTCATTTTAATCATTTAGTTGAGTTAAATAAACAACGCTAAGTTATGGTCCATGTTAATTTGAGGTTAAAGTTAAATAACTTGATAAGGATTTTTTGTTTTAAAATGTTACAAAACATCTGGCTGAAACCATTTTTTAGTAAATCACTGGAAATAATCCTGAAAACAAATGAGTAAATATGACTAAACCATGATGTTGAGTTAGTTTTTAAAGACTATAACTTCTAACTGTGCATCTTCGTTTTATTGCAACAGACTGTTTTACAATAAATATATTACATTATTAAAGGAAAATCGTAAAAAAAGATTTTATTTTTTTACAGACTGAAGGAAACTGGAGAACAATAAGTTCTGTGAGTAAAATGGACTTTTGGCATCAAAAGTGTTTGTTGATTAAAAATCCTCAGAAATAAATTTGGTACCAGAGTGAATGTTGTAACCATGCTGGAGTTTAGAGAGTTTTACATTTTTAAAGTTACTTATTTCCTGTTCCAAAGAGCTCAACTACAGAAAAATTCAGGAAACATGCAGACTCCATCTTCCTTCATGGTTCAAAAACATATTCTGACTCAGTTTCAATATGTGAGAATCAGTAGCATCAATATTTAGCATCCTAACTTAACATTTAGCTTCTATTTAAATATTTAGCTTTCTAACTAAACATTTAGCTTCTATTTAAATATTTAGCTTTCTAACTAAACATTTAGTTTGCCAACTAGATATTTATCTACAATGTAAACATTTAGCTGCTATTGTGAAGGTTTTCCCATCTGTCTGATCAATGCATCCGATTATCAGCTTCTGACCGATATTGATACTCAACTTTCTGTACAATCACAACTTGAGGACAATCATCGTCAACCCAAAGCAAACAGACGGAACAACTGCGAAACCACTTCCTGGTGTTTTTGTTGCAGCTGCTGTTATGAAGCCACAGACTCAACTGTCTCACTTTTCATCTGCCTCAGCAGGATGAGGCATCATCATTTTCTTCTACTTTGACATTTTCAGCTGAAGTGGACTTGGAGATTCTGGCCCGGTTTCTTCTTTAAAGAACACAAACAAGTTGAGACACCAAACTGAGTTTCCACCAGGAGAAAGAAATGACAGGAAATGAAGAAACTAACATGCATTATGTGATTCACAAGGTCTACAGAACCAGCGCCCCCCAGAGGTGGGCTCTCTTCTGTAACTGGACCTCAGCAGACAGGAAAACCTTAAATCCTCAGATGACACCAAGGAGCGACTGTGGCTCAGTGTAGAGTTGAGTTGTTGTCCTGCAATCAGGAGGTCGGAGGTTTGATTCCTCCGGCCGATGGGCCCCTGGGCAAGGCACTGAACCCCAAGTTGCCAACCAGTTGGTGCTTAAATACATGTGTGTTTAGAAAGGTGACTGCTTTCTAAAATGTCTGTTTGATTGTTCTGATGGGGATGACAGGATGTGGATCAGCTCATCCACTGGTGTGATCAGAACCTCCTGCAGCTAGACTCACTCAAGACGGTGGAGAAGACGGGCTTCTGGAGAACTCCTCAACAACACTGGGTCTGAAACTAAATCTTTAGCTTAACTTAGTTGAGAGGCTAGCTGTTTAGCTTAAAGATTTACAAATGAATGAAAAGTATGCTGAAGATATGACTGAAGAATGAAACCAGTTTATTTCTAAATAGGCTAAATAACCCAAATTATTGCTGGTAATTTTTGACTGTGTAACTTTACAAACAGCTCCTGATTCAAACTCTGCTTCTATATTTATATGAAACTGGACCAATAAAGCTGCTTCTGATTCCTTTGCTTCCAGCCATCAACCTGTTATCCGGTTGCACTAATGTTCATTATGGGTGTCAGTCGTATTTATTCAGATTTGCTTCAGATTTTAATCATTGATGTTTTTAGATGTTTGTTTCCTCGGTGCAGTAAAGCTGCTCTCATCAGTTAAGTTTCTGTCACCAGCTGAGCACCATCATGGAAACATCTGAAATGAGAGTGTTTGTTTGAGGAAGGTGTGGTTTGTGGTCACACTGACAGCAAACGCTGCATCTGGACGGGAAAGCAGATTCTCTGCAGCAACACAGCGAATTAAGTCAGCGGGTCGGAGCCGAGCAGAACCAGGACTCTGGGTCCGAGAGCCAGAGAGCGGCAGGGAGGAAGGTCCAATTCCAACCTTCTCAAACGCAGCCAGAGGTGGGTGGATTAACCCAAACACTGGATTCAAGTAAGAGTAGCACTCCGTCATGTTTTACTAAAAAACAGCCGTCAGTTAAATTACTCAGGTAAGAGTGGAAACACATTTGGTAAAATACGTCTGACAAATACTTGGTAAAAGTACCAAAAGTAGCAGACTTCAGTGAAGTCACCTTGATGATGAAAGTTATGTGCATATTCTGGTATTTTAAATACTAATAAATAAATAAATATCAGATTCAGGTATAAGAAACTTTTCTTTGCTGTATAAAACTTGGAAAACAGTTTATTTAATTTCCTTTGGGGATCAATAAAGTATTTTTGGATTGAATAGTTACTTCCGATGACGGCGCAGCTCATCATGGTCGGCAGATAGAAGATGACATTAAAACAACAAAGCTGGTGTAAGGACAAGAGGTCTCACTTCAACACAATCTGTAGGCGTCAGAGTTTGATGATTTTCTGTTTCCTTCTCATTCAGTGAAATTACTCTCAGTTTGTAGAGTATGCAGGAAGTTTACTTAAAACAACATCAATCATGTAAAAGTAAAAAATATGGTGTCGTAAAAATAGAAGTATGTTTTTCTCCAAATAGATACTCAGTTAACAAGTGGTGAGATATTGTTCCATCAAACTCAGAATGCTGGATAAAAACAAATAAAACGAAGGATGACTCCTAATTTTTGTACAAAGATGATATAACTACTCAGTCATGCAGCACTGTTTGGGAGTTGGGGTCAGAGGTCAGGGGGATCTCAGGTCTGGGATTCTGATGGTTCTGAAACATGTATTTAAAATCAGTTTAAAGTTTGAAGCTTTCTGAAGTTCTGTCTCCAGGAAGTCGTCAAAACATGGCTCCTCTATTAATGCTAACGTTTTTACCAGCGCTGCTCTGAGCAGCAGCTCCACCAGGTGTTTGCTAATTGCCATTGGCTAGTCTGAAGGAGCTGAGGGGGGAGGAGCTGCGCCTTGAAGGCGGGGCTAGGTCCATCCAGGTGTTATGTGGCTGATTGGTTGCCATGGAGATTAAAGGATTTCTCAAACATCCATGAAAGAATCAAAGCAAAACTCCAGGTTTGTATCTGATGAAAAACAAGATGATGCCCCG